CCAGATAGAAAGTGAAAGGCCTCTCTCAGAAACTATTCTTGGTGATGAATATGCTATCAAGTATGAATCTATTCAGAAAGATGGAAAGTATGGTTNTAATATTTATTCTAAAGATACACATCTAGTCAAGAGATTAATAACCAACTCCCAAGTAGATACTCAATTAGCAAGCACGATTGGATATGAACTGTTCATGTTGTAGATTCTACCAACCTTTTTAGAGAATTGAAGTGTAGTCATAATATAGAATTCATGTAAATCAATAATTTTATTTCTTATATTTTATCTTTTTCGAATTGTGTGTGGAATTGTATGGTTTAGATGGTTGATCGAGAGATATCTTATTCATCAATCCAACCAGTTGATCCTCAGATTTCTTAGTATTGTAAAGATCCTTCAATTCCAAAGTTAAGTTTTTCAGCTCTTGTCGTTTGGATTCAATTTCATTTTGCAAACTTTTTATTTGATTCTTTTTAGCTTCGATTTCTTCATCCTTTTCCAAGTTTCTCTTGTTTCGAATAAGTTTATTTTTCTTTTTCAAATCCATTCGAATTACTAACATTTGTGCCTCCTCTACTTTCTTCACTAATTCAACCAAACGGGAAAAATCAGATTCGTTTCGAAGTGGTGATGGTTTTTTATTAAACTTTGATTTGATTACAAAACTGATTCTGAAATTTTTCAAATCAGATCTTTCATCTTCAACATTATTTGAAATCTGATTTCTCAAAAAGACTTCAAGAGCTTGTTTCAAAGTTTCGAAACTTTCCAATAATCCTTCAGAAGATTTAAAATCTTGCGAAAGATTTCGAATAGATTTCGTACCATTATTGTTAAAAGTACCAAGAGATGAGCTGCCGATTACGAGTCTTATTGTTTGCATTTTTTTGAATTTGTTTAAAACAAGTAAATCTATTTTTATTTGAATTTATTGAACCTGTTGAATTCTAAAACTAAAAATACGTTTTGTTGTAAACTCAACTTTTTATTTTCAATAATCACGTTTTGGATGCAACGTAACTTGCTTGCATAGATGAATAGGTTGTTTTATTGTTAAAAAGTAAAAGGATTTTGACAGAGTTGACCAGCTCACTTTGCACATTAGTGGTGATCAATTCCAAATTGATAAGCCAGTTACAATGACCCTCAAGAAGCAAAACAGTCAATTATTCGATGTTGAACTCAACCATACTTTCAGTTATTAGCAAACTGATTGGTTCAGAGATGGCTCTGCTTTGAATTGTTCAATTTAATTAATCATATTTTGAATCCATCAAATACCATATTTAAACCAATTAAATAAAAGAGAAGATAATTTTACAGTTTGAAAGAACCACTCCTCACTTTGTAACAATGAAGCAATGATAGAAAATTCACGGAGTAACAATCGAACAGACTGATCAGAAATCATTCGATTTCTAATATGATTTAGCATAATATTTGGAAATGACAAGAGTTCAATATTAAAAACGATTGCTTCCTCAATTGAATCATCCCATAGCTTTCTTAACTTTCCAATGGATAAAAAGGTCTCTCCACTGTTCAAACAATTCTGTTTCATCAAATATTCACAATGCTTTCCAATTTTAGAAAGAGCAAGATTTGAATCATTCTTCATATCAAGAAGTGAAAACAGAAAAAACAATGGATGTAATAGAATGGGATCTTCAACAGTTTCCAAGAATGAATATTGACCATCTGAAAATAATTCTTCACCTCTTTTCTCCAATCTATTTAATTTATGCCAAAAATAGAGTGTCATCTCTGGAAATTCCTCAAATCTTAATTGAATATATCTGATTAAAATGTTGTTAACTGCAAGTTTGGGATCAAGCTTATCTAAAATTTCAAAAAGTATTGTGTAAAAAAATAACATTATTGTCTTTAAATTCTCTAATAATGGTTCTTCTTTCTACCCTTGCTTTACAGTGATTTGTGGGAATATGGGAAAGGACCATCTGGAATTACTCTATCCAATACAAGCACTCTTTTTCAAATTGAGATTTTTCATCTTGCAAAGAAATTGAGCCAATATATGTTGTCAAACATCATCTGTTTAATTTCAATATCTCAAATTTGTTTAAGTTTTAATAAAGTTGAAAACCATGTTATTAAACTTTCGCCAAGTGAAACATTCAACTAGACTTTGAAAGAAACACAATTTCACTTCTAAAAATACACCCAAGGAAAAAAAACGCAACCGCAGCATTCA